GGGTGGTGTGTGTGTACCATTATAGATGACTGGCTTGTTCAACCTTCATGAAATTTGGAGTTTAATTTATGAAATACATTAATTATACAATGAAGTATATTCCTTTTCTATTTAGAGCAGTATATGGAATTGTAAACTTTCATTGGATCTCAGCATCCAGTAAAATTGGAGAACACAAAACAGTGGAAATAGCAAGTGAATAATTCCATGATACCTCAGAGCTGCACTGCTCTAAATATTTTTAAATTTATTTTATTATTATTTATCACATAATACTTAATTTCTATTCATATTATTATTTTACTATGTTGTGGGTTTGGATGTTTTTCTTGAATGTATGTTTGTGTTCCACTTGAATGCCTGATGCCCACTGAGGTAAGAAGAGGGTTTCAGATTTCCTAGAACTGGAGTAACAGAGGGTGTGAGCCACCATGTGGGTTCTAGGAATCAAACTAAAGTCATTTAGAAGAACAGCCATGTCTCCTTACTGATGATCCATTTCTTCAGCCCTGGAAAGACATTTAAAAAAAGAAATATTGTCCTTTCTTAAAGGACTAAAAGTGAGTAAAAAAGGAAATATGTGAAGTAGGTAGCAGGAAGTGCCTTGAACTCCATATGCAGGAAAGTATTTATTTATGGAATGCAAACATCAGTGTAATGAACATCAGGTTCAGGGTATGATGACCCAGGTCTGTGGTGTGTCCCTAATGTCTCTTACTTCCTATTTTTCATTCCCTAAAATTTGGTATATCATATGCCTCCAGGGCTTAAGGTCAAAATCAACAGTTTAAATATAGAAACGTTATTTTTCACTGTTAAAGCTATGTGCAAAACGCAGATTATTTGATTATTGCTGTATAGTTTCTTACTGGTGTTCTGCTTTTTTGGTATCATTTAAAATTACAGAGTCTTTTCTTTTAAGATAGTGAGAAAATATGAGAACTTTGCATATTAATACAACTTCATTAGAAAGACAAAATTAAAACATGCTTTTAAAGGGTATATATATTCTTGTTTTATATATATACACATATACACACATACACACGCAGAATTACATCACGTATTCTATCTCTTCTAGCATTAACAATAGGTATTTCCTGGGTGATATAGTCTGCAATTTAATTTATTTTTTGTTTGTTCGTTTATTTATTGAGACAGGGTTTCTATGTATTGATTTGAAGCCTGTCCTGGAACTAGCTCTGTAGACCAGGTTGGACTCAAACTCACAGAGATCAACCTGCCTCTGCCTCCCGAGTGCTAGGATTAAAGGTGTGCACCACCAACACCAAGCTTGTAATTTAATTTGTAATTGTTTTTCATATCCATTATGACAAAAATCACACATTCAGCATAAGAAATATGATGTGACTGCTGAAGAGAAAATGCCCCCCAGGAGATCAGATCATAGACTCAGTTTTTCATATCCATTATGACAAAATCACACATTCAGCATAAGAAATATTATGTGACTGCTGAAGAGAAAATGCCCCCCAGGAGATCAGATCATAGACTCGATGATCATGTTCTAGCTACATGTTCTAAACAAGGCAGTTAATCACATAGAGTAATCATAAATGACCACTGGAATTACCTAAGTTAATAGTCACAATATATTTAACATCTTAGAGTTTAAAAGAGATAATAAAGTGAATTTCTGTTACACAGAAGAATGTACATTATTTCCATAGAAAAAAAAATCACCCTAGCAAGAAAGAACACAAACAAGTACTGCTACTGTCCCTAAAGTGGACTCATTATTGAAGACAATATGAAGGAAAATATCTCTTTTTAATTTAGCTCAAAGAAAAGGAAGAGTTACCTTAATATTTAAGTTTAAATGTTAGAATATAAGACATGAGACTGGGCATTAATAATACTAAAATAGATACTTATTAAACAGCAATTTAGAAAAAAATTGCTATGTACTTACATACTTTTAGATTGGTGAGTCATCTCATCAGTGATAAAATATTAACAGTGTAATTTTCATCATTTTTATAGTTAAGAAAATGGAGGATAAAGCAGCGTAAATATTTTGCCTCATGTTAATATTTTAAGAAGGGAAGAAGCACATACTTGAGTGCAGTTTATTTTCCAGCAAATACAAAAATCTTAACTAATGCACAGATGATGTTATCTTCCAAATAATTAAAATACTAAATTCCTAGAAGATACTTCCAGGAAAGATCGACATTGTTGTCAGTCACTGACTGAAGTGAAGAGAGCCTAAAATACAAAATATGCTAGGAAAATATGTCAGTGAACACCAGCTCTTAGGATTCCAACAGTACCCTTTACATTGTTCCTTAGGACTCACCCGAATTATAATACTACAGTCAGGTTCCTTCCTTTCTACATATACTTCAATTAACAAGTCTCCAGCCTGGGACACCTATGAAGGGCAGATATAAAGACAGCACAAGTAAGTATGTCACAAAATCACAGACACCGCATCTAAGAGAGCTACAACATGCTTGTCACACTTCTCAAAAATGTACAGCAATGAAATTAGCTCAGTTCCTCTGTTGACTGTTATTAGGTATGTATTTCAAAATATGTTTGATTACAGACAAGAATGTCTAAAGCTTAGATAAAACAAGTGGTACAGATAGCAACAACATTCATACTCTGATTTTTTTATACCAGGTCAAGGCCTTAGTAGCGTCAAATACTGAAACAATGACTCTAGGAAGAATGTAGATTGCATTTGATAACAGTTTAGGAACCACAGAATAAGTAAAGCTCTCAATCCATGTGGACATAATCTTAAAAGAAAAAATATACCTTGGTAATTTTTCATGCAGCTGACACATGCAAACACTGAATGGGGAGGAACTTTACCTCAAAGCTGTACTAAAATTAGAAACAGGAAATACCATTTACGGAGAAAAGTAAGAGTAAAATAATAGGATAAGGTAGACAAGCAAGATGAGCTTTTGTTTTTATTATCCTCACTGAAGCATTTAACAATGCTTATTTCGGTCATTACATGCCCAGAGACAAAGTGAAAAGTTTCAAGGAAAATGGAAAATGACAGACAATGCAGTACAGACCAACAGAATAAAATAGAGGCCAAAGAATAAAATCAAGATATAAAAACATCATTTGTATAGCCTTTTTTTTTCAGAAGTGCCCTGCATAACCACTGAAAACGTCTATCAGAAATAATTTAAAGAGATTCTGAGATGTAATTGTTCTGATGTTAAATTTTCTTTAGCACAAAAGTCTAAAATCTAACGAGTAAGAAAGATTAACGTGTACAGAGGGGGAGAGCTTAAAATGTACTCTGAAGAACTACTCTTAGTTATTTTGCCACCGTATGCATACAAGAGCTTACTTCCAATTTTTCTTTCTCAGTTTTGATTCTATATATGATGTCTAAGGAAAAAGCAGACATTTTTGCTTTTCACTCTTTGTATAAACATCACAGCAAGAAGAAAACATTCTAAAAATTAAAAAAGGAAACACACAAAACATAGAGTAGACTAACAAGTAGCTCAGTAGTTAAGTAATTACATAGTTGAGAATTAAAATAGGACAAAGAGAAACACTCAGCAAATACTCCAAAACGGGGCTTTAAACAGACTGAAGCAAGACTCATGCAGCAATAACCATTTTACATGGTATTCTTATTGTCTTTCTCAATTAATTTATTTTATATATAACTGTTTCACTTATGGTAAATTCAAGGTGTCCAAGACTTTTTTCTTTGTTGTAAAATGCAAGCAGATACTGCAGCAATAACAATATAGATTAGACAGCCAAAGACTTCCTTTCAGGATAACAATCCCTCATTTCAGGACTGAATTACATTCACACCAAGTATGAATTATAAGCACTGACAACAAGCCAGATTGTTTTTACTTTAGTGTTATAGCTAACTCCTCTGGAAGTTGCATTAATTACTTTCAGTCAAAATGGAGGGAATCATTTGTTAAGTAATTAATATCATAGCATTAGTTCAAGAGGGGAATCTAAGCATGTGCTCATCTGCTTCATGTAGAATGATAGTTGCAATGATTCCTTTAATTAGCAGCAGACGTTTCAGCACTGAAGCAAACTTTGGGTCTGACTAATAAGCAGGAATTTGCTTCATTATCTGAGTGTAATTATGAACAGAGTACATTTGACCCATTTCTATTATTTACAGTGAAACCCTGAATCCATTATCATTCCCAGCTACTAGAAGATGATTAATGATCAAACTTAAGATGTTCCGGTGAATTCATCAAAGAAGGTAAGGCAGCCTGGAAAAGCATGGTGCCTCCTGAACACACAAATCCAGTGTAATGTGACTAGAAAAGCAAGACAGGATTTAGAAAAGCTGACTTAAGACAAAAGTTAGTATGCATTACACAGGTTACCTTAGAAACGGTGTCATTAGTACAATCATCTGAGAGTGTGCAGAGCAGAAGCATGTAAGAAATCATTTACATCTCCATAATCATAAGGGAGAAAATCATTACGCTGTGGAATTTTGCAATTTAGCCTACTATTTCTTTGGCTTTAAATGCTTCCTTTGCAATCCACTGGCAAAGCCAATAGTGTTTTGGTTTTTGGTAAATATTAGTTATTGCTACCTTAATATTTAAGGTTATATTAATACATTCTGCATATATGCATCAGGTTTCAGAGTTGCTCCAGTCTTTCACCAGTTTCTTTTACTTTGTTTTGAATAGGAACTTGAACACACACAACAAATGTTATTTACGAACATTTTGTTTGTAAGTCTTTAGAGACTAACTCTTACTACTCACTTGAGTGTCTTTCCACTTGGTTATAAAGCTATTTTCTATGTCCATTTGTTTGACTTGGTCTTCTTTAACCTGTTTAAAATATAATTTGGGATATTCTAATAATGTAGAGTACACAGAGCCAGGGTGCTCTTTCTCACCTAGCTCCTCAGGAATTTAAATAACAACAAACTGCAAAGAGACCAGGATGGCCATTATTATGATCATCTTGATCACATGAGCCCCACAATTTGGGCAGCATGAGGCCTACTGAACAGAGCCTCATAGGGATCAGAACACGCTTTGACAATGTCCCATCAGACTGCAGAGATACTCAGGGAAAATCATGAGATTTACAAGCACAAGTTCCCACAGACTGTTTCTGAAAGTGCTTACAGGTGAGAAGCAAGGCTCACCACTCAAACATAAATATTCCTGAATGGCTTATTAAACTTTTAGTAAAAACTTAAGTTTAATAACACTATGAACATAACCATTTAGCTTTATTAACATGGTAAAGAGAACATGTAAAGCCACATTTATTTTTGTGTATCTCAGCTCAAATCATTTCAAAGAAGCTGCTGTTGATCAAAATGAAAACACTAGACAAACAGGAGGAAATGAGAAAGATACCAAAGTGCAAAGAAAAGGCAGTTCTGGTATGAACTCTCCTAGACATTAAAGTACAAACTGTTATATTACTCAAATCATTCATTTTTCTATGAGAAGCAATACTGTCTCACTCCTTGGCATAGACCCAAAGGACACTTCGTCATACCACATTGACATTTGCACAACTATGTTCATGGCAGCTTTATTCATAATAGCCAGAAATTGGGGGAAAAATAAAAAACTAGATGTCCCTGTACCAAAGATTGGATAAAGGGAATGCAGTACATATATCACACAGAGCATTACTCAACAGTTAAAATAAAAAGACAGGTAAATGGATGGTGCAAACATGGTATATACTCACTTATAAGTGGATACTAGCTGTAAAGTAAAGTATACTAATACTACAACCCACACAACCAGAGAGGCTAACTAACAAGGAGGGTTCAAGGGGGAATTCATGAATCTTCCTGGGAAGTGGAAATAGAATAGATTTTAATAGATTTCTTGGGTAGACAGGGGGCAGGTAAGGATGGGAACAGAAGGAATCAGGTATCAGGGGAGGAAAAGAGGGAGAGACAATGTAATTAGGAAGCATTTGGGGGCAAAGTTGAAACCTAGTGCAATGGAAACTCCCTGGAATCTACGAGGGTGATCATAGGGAAAATACCTAGTAATGGGGGATTTGGAGTCTGATCCTTTCTTGAACAGGCAAGGGATCCAGTAGAGCGTCTGGCATACCAACATACCTACAAAACCTTCAACCTACAATTTGTCCTGCCTGCAGGATGTTCAGGGGTAAAGGTGGCACAGAAATTGTTGGAGTGCTCAACCACTGACCTGTCCAACTTAACTAGACTGTAAGTGTCTTTAAATCCCTACTGAACCACACTTGACATTTCCTGGAGGGCTAGAAACCAGAGGATGAATAACCCTGAGAAATAGGATAGAACCAAACACTACTGGTGGGGTTAAAAAAAAAGTCAATGAAATGATTCCTAATGATATTCTGCTATACTCATAGAAAAAGCCTAGCATAATCATCATCAGAGGGGCTTCATCCAGAAACTGACGGGGCAGATGAAGAGACACACAGCCAAACATTAGACTGAACTTGGGGTAGGGAGGTCCTGCAGAAGGGGGAGGAAGGATTATAGGAGTCAGAGGGGCCAAGAACACCACAAGTATATGGCTAACAGAATCAACTAACCAGAACCCATAAGGTCTCCTAGAGACTGAAGAGATAATCAGGGGGCCTGTATGGGTCTGACCTAGGTTCTCCAAATGTATTTTATGGTTGTATAGCTTATTGTTCTTATGGGAATCCCAACTGTGCAAATAGGGTTATCTCTGACTCTTTTGCCTCCATTTGGGATGCTTTTCCTCCTACTGTGTTGCCTCATCCAGCACTGATAGGAGGGTAAGTGCCTAGTCTTATTGATATCAATGGGAGAGGCCTGCTCTTTTCTGAAGAGAAATGGAGGAGGGATGGTATGGAGAAGAGAGGGGGCTGGGAGGGAAGGAGGGATGTAGGATTAATGTCTCTTTATTCCAGATGACACCAAGGCAAGACACAGGCCAGAGCTAGGTTATAGAACTCAGCAAGCGCGGCCAGAACAAAAGGGGCCCGGGTCCCCACTTGCAGCCCCTTAAGAAGCTCCCTTACGTCACCCCGGCTTTCCTTCACCACGCCCTTATGGGCGAGTCCCGGGTCCACCTGGTACCTGTCCCAGGACTATTGGGCGGGGCTAGGGTGTCTCCCTTCAGAGGGAGGTGAAACTGTGGTCAGGATGCAATTTGTCAGAGAAGAATAAATAAACTAATTACAAAATAATAGTAGCAAAAAAAAATGTCATTCTCAAAATGATTAAATGGCCCCCCAACTCATCTGGTTTCATCTGGCATATCTGTACCCACAGAACAGAAGAAATTATCACTTGAGCAAGCTCTGAACCATTCTGGACCAAAGAGGGGATGTGAGAGTTGTTTACACAGAGGAAGGAACTTTTACCGAGAATTAGTAAGGCCTGGAGTTATATCCTATACTTTATCTTCCTTAAACAATGAAACCATTACAATTCTAATAGTTTAATAAAAAAATAAAAATACTCACTTCATAGAACCACAAACTGAAAAGTGAAATAAATAAAAGTGAGGACTCAGTAAAAGCCATAAGATAATGCTTCATAATTCTCTTCCAATTGAAGCACAGTTTTTTAAAAAAAAAAGTGATTTCAATAGTAGCATTTAACAGGCTTTTGTTGATCACTGAATTTGTTAAACTCATAACTTCACACCTCTCAGTAGACATACTTAATGCATATACACAGTGAAGAGAAAACACACACACAAGCCCTGTAAATAGTATGCTGTCCAACAGACAACAGATGGTGAAAATATTTAAAAGCTGCTACATTTAAATAAATGGTTACTGTTTTAAAATCCAATTATATCTAAAATTTTCATACCAAACTATCCTTCGTGGTCTCTATTTTAAATTATTCATAAGGACTTGAGTAACATCCTGAAATAGGCACCGTGTTCTGCAAGCTGTGGTGACTAATCCATTGGAAAAAGAAGATTTACAATTCTTACCTCAAATATTTCAACGTAATTATTAATTAGATCTTCAATTACATTGACTTCTTCACTAGTTTGTCCCTTGGTTTGAAATAAGCAAGACGAAAAGACCAATGCCAAGTTATGAGCATTCATGTGATTGATTTCTGAGCATTTCTGAACCCTGTTATGGGAAAGTATATCTTATTATGACATACATGTATCCAAGGACTTCATAGAAATACAAGCTAAAATCGTAAGTTATCATTTATCACTTTTAAACACACACAGTATGAACTTCTTCAAAATAAAAGGTTCAGTAGGGATTTAAAGACACTTACAGTCTAGTTAAGAACAGAAGCAAAACTACTGTTGAAAGGAGCAGTATTTGGTGCTCCGGGGAGACTGACTGCATTCAACTACTGTTGAAAGGAGCAGTATTTGGTGCTCCGGGGAGACTGACTGCACACAAATAGTTGCAACCAATGGACAACCCAATCCCAGAGCACAAAAATGTATAAGCTCTGGTTTGAAATGATGTATACAACTGCATCATAATGAAAGAAGAGGAAGGGCAAAAAGTCAAGATAATATAGGCTCTACTGGGACTTCGTGGATTTCAGTTCACAGGCAGAGGCTGCATTTTCCACCGAGTACACTATTATTTAGATACATATACTCTTTAGCTACTCATCAGAGCTAAAGAAACTGTTACCTGGTATTTATGACTAACAAATGAATCCCACCATAGGGACTGCTATGCTAAAACAGACTTTATAAGACAACTACTTTCCCTTTAACAGAATAAAATCTAAATGGTTCTTCATGACAAGTCCCTTCACAACAGGTGTTAATCTACTCATTCAAAACAGGTTATCATTACATCTCAAAAAGAAAAAAAAACAGTTTAAAAATGCTGCCATCCCCAAGTTAGACACTACTAAGAATGGCTTTATTTTATTATCTATTAATGTGTTTTATTTTATTGTATGGGTGTTTGCCTACATGTATGTATGTGCACCATACATGTACCTGGTGCTCACACAGAGCAAAAGGGATATTGAATCTCCAGAAACTGAAGTTACAGATGATTTTTGAGTTGCCATATATGTGCTGAAAATGAAATTTGAGATCCTGAACAATCAGTAAGTGATCCTAATTGCTGAGCTATCTCTTTACAACACCAATTGCCTTTCTCAAATAAATAGATATTGACAAGTAAATTAATTCTTCTATTAACCTTTGGGTATTGTAAAGGGTACTTTAAACATTCACCCATATAAGTTAAAAGTGCATCACAACAGCAGTCACATCCACAAGGAGGGCTTACAAGGATAAAAATGTCAAGAAGAAATACAAACACAAGTGCCTGTTCATGATCTCTATTGAGTTTTCACAAACTGAAAATAGAGCAGCTACATGACTCTTGAATTAATTACATTGGAAATACCACACACACACAACAAAGAGAGCAAACTATTCCTGACTGAGAGAGGTGCTCCTGTGTATATAGAACATAGACTCTATGAGATGCATGCAAAAAAGGAGTAAACATAGTAGTAATATATATGATAATGTCAGAAATCCATAATAAAATGCAAAATTGCATAGCAGAGATTGGATAAAGAAATGGCAGTCATCATGGATGATTTACAAGATGGAAAAGGAACTGGAATTTAATAAAGGAAGAGTTAACAATTGCAAGCACTCCTCCAAACCACTTCTGCACTTTTATCATACTAGACTGTAAATATCTAGAAAATTTATCTCTGTGAATGTCTCTATTCCTACAATCTCAGAATCTCAGTAAGAGGCTTGCTTTAATCATGCTGTAGTGCATAATGAATACATGGTGAGTGCAATTAAGTGGCTGCTACTGATGGCAGAAGTGAGCTGTTACCCAGGACAGGTATTGGATTAGAAGTTGTATCAATCTGACTGCATCCAAGGTGACTCCTCACACTTTTGATGACATTACCCAGTTCCTGAATTTCTTGAGCCATCCCTCTGTGGGCCTCTTTATCTGTCAATACACTTAGTTTTTCTGATTATCTTAATTTTTGGAATAAACTGTGTACACTGTAGACTGCTTTCTTTACTTCTTGGTACCAAGATGCTGTTGCTTCCCAGTATTTCATAACCAGCCTTCTGATAGTCTTACTCTGCCCTTCTCCTCGAGCCCAGGGAAATCTTTCTGAATTAGGGTTCTCTGTCTCTTCCCAAGTGTTCCCTTAACAGGAGATACTATACTAAGTCAAATCATATCAGTCATTTCTTATAACATCCAGATAGAATTACGCGACTTACAAAGCCTGTCATAACCTCCTGTCATGCAACTGTTCTGTTCACCTAGTACTCCTATGTCTCAGAAGATACATTCCACTCACATATTGGCTTTCTCTTCCATCATTCGCTTACATGCTTCTTTAGACAATGTCTATGGCACTCAGGATGTGCCCAAACTGCTGGGCTCAAGCATTTCTTCTTTACAAGCTTCCTAGTACTGTGACTACTTTGTCTCTTGAGCACTGAAGAATTGTCTGAACTGTGGACTTTTTTAGACATCAACATATATTGATTCCATTTTCTCTTACTTCTAAAATTATATATTCAATTTTGTCCTAGCATCTCATATAGTTACCTGTATGATACAATATGAATATATGTTTTATAGGTTTTTGTCTATAGCTCACTATGGAATCACAGTTAATGTGTACAATCCCAACTAACAAAAGGAAAACAAAACTGGGAGCTAAACAAAAACCCTAAAAAGCAGTTTTATGGTAACAGTTTACATGTTACAAGGGAATATCCATTTGGTGAAGATAAAACATTGTGGGATATTTCTAAAACTCATTTACAAATCAGCTACTTTTATTTAAAAAAAAAACCAGCTATGTCACAAGTATATAAAATTCACAAATGAAAACACTGGATTCTCAGAGATCTTCCTACTACAGAACTCTGGCCCTTCAGTATGCAGTCACACAGCCACTCATCTGTAGTTCCATGCATCATGTTATAAACTTCTGTATTTAAACATTTGTGACCATATCACATAATCAGAAACAGGTTTGTATAATATATGCTATGTTCACAGGGTGCCATAAGAAAATCAATTTCATCTCCAATTACATACTCAAAAGAGTTTTAAATGTCCTGCTTATTAACAGCATACAGAAGATGCCATATACAATCATTTACTTATATATGAACATCTCCAACATGCTCAACTATAAATATACCTTAATTACAGAAACATAGGGTAAAGTAACAGATTTTAAGATCTATAAGTCTTCAAGTAAGACATGGAAGTCCAGCTACACAACTTTAAGTTTCAAAGACAATGACATACTGACAGGGGTCATGCTTTAAAATGCTCAGAAGCTTCAGGAGTCCACCTACCTGTAAAGGTGTTCAATTATAGCTGCCAGTGTTGCTCTGTTGACCCCCAGAAGAGTGCGGATGAATGCTCTGTATTTTTCAGTTCTTTCCTTTTCATCTTGTATATCTAGGGAGAAAATTCTTTACATTTAAACTAACCATTTATATTGTAGTCACATCTTTCAATATTATTTTAAATGATAGTTATAAGCATATAAATGATAAAATCAGGTTTCAAGAGAAAACATTCAAACTTTTAACACAATTTCCTGTAATTCTAAAATACAATCTATTTAAACATCATCACAAGATGATATTTTATGGTTCTTATAATCTGCAATTCAAAATTAAGCACATTCAAAATGGGAGGGCAACAGGATTTTTTCCCCTTTAATATAGCCTATTTTATGTACTTTTACATCTTAACAGGAATACAGTGAACTAATTATTCAAATCTCAGTATACATTGAAAAGCTAAGCCAAAGGTATATCTGGCTATAGAGGGACTTCATCAATTATATTTGAAAATGACATTTCTGACCCTCTTTTACTTATGAAATCCTAAAGATCTTTCCAAAGCTATGAGACATCCCAGAACTGTACTATTGGTGTGATCTACAAAAGGGGCCTATTACCGGCCAGGTTACCTTCAAATCTCAGATAAAGAAAAAAGACAATGTGAAAGAGGTGATGAACAAGTCTTAATACCATAATTCAGATTTAAAAGATAATGGGCCTTGTGCCTTTGTCAGGAAAAGAAATTAATTGGACCATCAAAAGACAAATGAGTAAGGATTGCCCTCTCTCCTTGTAACCCAAGAAGGCAAATCTCAAGAGTAACTGAGACCTGGGGACTTTCCACATTGTAGAATTGAGATGGATTATAATGGCAGTTCAATCCAAACTATTAGCTGACATGGGAAGTACAAACCATTGTTCAGAGCAACAACTTTTGCTGACTTTGCAATTACTCTTCTGTTTCAATATCCAGTGGCCTTTGAAAGGAAGGTGTTTCCATTTCCTGCTTAGCCCTACCTAGCTATTACTTAAGAAAAGCCAGGGACATTCCAAAGATTCTTTAAATGTATACAGTCACATGAAAAGTTCCCTAAAATCCGCCAGGGATGCAGGAACTGTGACATACTTTCCAAGTATATTCCTATTCAAAATCACAAGTGTTGTCTCTTGTGCTCATTTAAACCACACATGAGATCTATAAAAGGAACAGAGATAACTCCAGAAAAGCAGGAAGGGAAAATATCCAAGTCACCCAATAAGTTTAGAGTTATTTGTTATTCTAAGATAAAACAAACATTTCCCCCCATGTCATCTAGTTCATGGTTTTAGAAGCAACCTCATACATTCAGTAAAATCTAACTCATATTATAACACTTAGATCTAATTGTAGTAGAAGGCATTTCATTTACTTTATAAAAATAAATAGATACTCTCAAAATAAAAAAAGTTAGAAAAATTTAGTTGAGATTTCAGGTCATGTAGAAAATATGGTAAGTGGACAGAGGTGATGTCTTTGTTATGCAAATATGAAAACCTGAGTTAGATTCTTAGCACTCATGTAAAATATCAGGCATGGCAGTGTAACCATGTAATCATGGGCAACCAGAGGTAACAAGATACGTTGGGCTTTCTAGGTAATCAATATAGTCAATTCAAAAGCTTTGAGTTCACTGAGAGACAATGTCCCAAAACAGTAAGGTGAAAAGTTATTGGGAAAGTGACATGACACCAACTTCTGGTATGTACACCCCCTACACATGTGTATAAGCAAGCATGCATCACACATGCACACAGACATATACTCATGGGGAAAGGTATACAGTGAGCAATTTAGTTCAGAATTGGGATAATTTACCAACCAAATTACGCACATATGCACACACCAAAACAAAAAAACAAAAAAAAAGCAAAAAAAAAAAAAAATACAGAGCCCATTTTGTGTTGGCTATCTATTCCTGGGAACGAAACTTGCCCTGGAATTTGTTTGATATAGGGAGTGGAACTTTATTGGAGAAAGTTGATTTTCCCTTTCCCAAATAGTATCAATTAGAAACAATTCTTGGTTAGGGGTAGGACCTTATGTGTATTACTCTATTTCAGTGCTGGGAATTGTCTTCTTTGAACCTGTGTAAATTATATGCATGCTATCACAGTCCACAGTCTGTGTGAATTCTCTGTGTATCAGTTCTATTGTTGTTTCTATTGAGACACAGAAAGACCCAAAGAGAGAATACATGAAGTTGGGTAGGCAGGGAGGTAGAAAGGACCAGGGAGGAATTGGGAGATGGAAAATAATATAATCAAAATGTACTATCTAAATCATTTAATTATCAATACCATAGTAGGAAAACCTTGGGATTACAATTCTTATTTAATACCTAAACCCAAGTTGACTATCAACACATGGATGAGAGTATTTGGCAGAGTTGCCAGCTCCTGTATACTATGTGGTAACATAATACTATGGAAACTTTAGATGATCCTGATACTGAAATCAAGGTAGAATACACACTAAAAATGTGATTAAAATTATAATTTTGTACCACAGTCTCCACTATATTAAACATGCAAAATTCAATATTTAACATTTATGGAGAAATATATGTATTATATTAGTAAACAAAAACCAAGAAAATTTTTAAAAATAATTATAAAAATAATTCAGATATTTTAAGTGTTCTTAGACTATCCATGCATTTTATAAATAATTAATATAGTACTATAAGAATTATTTGGGTTTTTCTGTTGTTTATTTTTCCAGACAGGGTTTCTCTTTGTAGTCCTTGCAGTCCTGTAACTCTCCTTGTAGGCTCATAGAGATTCATATTCCTCTGCCTCTAGAGTACTGGGATTAAAGGCATGAGCCACCATGCCTGGCTTACTACAAGAATTCTTAGCTTCAATTGAGCCAGACACTGTAAGGTCACACAAAGTCATGGTTTAAGGTGAGATCCAAAATTATGAATTCAGAAATGGCTGGGAGAGGCATATTGTGTCTAAAAGCAAAAGACCTAAAGGTTTTTTAAATATTCATCCACAAGTCAAAAATGAAAACATTACTTTCTGAAAAAATCTTGACACTTGATAAACACCTCTTCTGGGTTAACTGACAACAGTAAAGAGTTCTCTGTCACTAGACAATTTTAGCAAAAACTTATTGGCTATCTATTTTTTGATGAATAATTTTAAATGAAGACAAATTTTATTTATTCATAAATTATATATACTGCCACAGTTATTTATACTAAAAGTATCTTTAAAATGAGGATCATAGGAAAACTGGCCTTATGGAGACATAGTAATGACATAGTTTCCATCCCAGGAAATTATACTGTTATCTGTCCTTGGGATTATAGCTAGCCCTCTTGACTAGAGAAACACTTGAAAGCAAATCAAAAACTACCTTCTGAATTAGGTAGTTAAATTACAAACACTACAATTTTAGTGACAATTCTATTGTCTTCTTGCTAATATTACTAAGGGCTATTGTGGAAAATTAAAAATCATCATTATCTTGTGATATGATTTCAAAATCAATCCCTTCAAAAGTATTAGTTGTTTAAGGTTGAACAATATAGCCAAATCCAAGAGCCATTTTCCAAAAATTTTTCAAAATAGATTTCAAAATATATTTCCATATATAGTATATATATAGGAAATATCTGTGTTATTATTGCATATAAAAGGCTAAAAGTTAAAAACTGTAACTATAAAGATTGAAAATAGGCATTTTGAAAACACTTTACACACATGAAAAATGTTATTGGATTACTAAAAAATACACATAGTGCTTACAAGTATGGAATTAAAACAATAAAGAAGTAAAAATATTAAAATGATTACAACGTTCTTATTCTTGTATGGCTTCAACAAAGGAGCTAGTTTTAATTAAAGTTTCCATTTTTTCATTTGGTTTTCAAGACAGGATTTCTTTGTGTAGCCCTGGCTGTCCTGGAACTCACCCTGTAGACCAGGTTGTCCTCAAGCTCACAAAGATCCACCTAACTCTGCCTCCCAGGTGCTGGGATTAAAGGTGTGTGTCAACGCTGCCATGGTTTTAGTTTTATTTAATGTATATAAAATAATTTTAGTAGAAGTAGCATGACCTAATAAAGAATTTAATTAACCATTGGTCTATTAATATATTCATCCCCTACGATTCCATGTGGTGTAACTTTACCTGATTATGTGGATTTCCTAGAAAATGAATAAAAATTTTGTCAGTTACATTAATAAGAGGTAGAGTAAATGGCAAGAGAAACAAATGCAGTTCAGTAATTCTCAAATGATCAAAGACTTAAAAGAAAATCCTGAGTATTAAATTAGAAGGCAGGCATGATGTCCTGACCCAAGGGCATTTGTTACCTAATGTGGAGACCCAGTATGGATAGAGCTCCTTTGTGAGAAGCGCATCATCAATGTCAGACAGAAAACTCTTCAGCACACTTGTCACATCTTCAAGTTGATGCTTTCCAGCTCTCAACTTAACACTCCTTGCATCCTTTTTGAAACTCTCCAGGAGTTCACTTATGTGCGAAGGATCACCATTCTTTTGATAAATGTGTTTGCATCCTAACCCTGTAATAAAAATGTAGAAAGTAATATGAGAAGTATCTGTAGCCATTCTATTTGATATCTTAGAAACAGAACAGAGTCTTCCATGGGGATGATGAACAAAATAAGTCATAAGACATGAGGTTAAAGACCTTGCACCTCTCTATTTTAAGTTTGAACCTGGCGAATAGACCATCAGATCCTCAGCCTCAGCTAACCTCCCCCCAGTCACCCTCCAGTTTTCCATATTATCCTTTTCAAAGGTATTTTTACCTCAAGGTCAATTTCCCCATATTCTCAGAAAATAAGCTTGCCTACAATTGGACAGAATAGTACAAAACTTGGGTATATATTCCTCATATTCTCAACACATATTTGTCTATTGTTTTTGCTGTGCCTACCTATACTGTTGCCCAATGTTTCCAACTCATTGTTTCATCAGGTACTCCATAAAAGTCAAAGAAGTGATTAGTGTCAGAATGGGAATGAAAAATGATGGTGGTGGTGATACAAACACACAAAATCTTTGGTTCCTCCTCAAATCATTCTCCTTGTGAAACCAAGATAAATTGATGGTACTTTTTCTATGTGCTTATATTCCTATACAATCTCCCCAGGGAACTTCCTGGGTTTGTAGCACTATCATTAAGCAAATCAATGGTATTATCTAGATGTCCTTCAGCTTTAGGATAATGACACCACTGCAAGCATATGACAGCCCTCAGAACCTGCTCCCAACATGTTAATATCATGGCATTGTATGGTATCATGATCTTATGTCCATTTTTCTCTCCCTCCAGGACTATTATTTCCCCAGTGTTCTATTTATTTTGCTCTTCCAGCCTCACTTCTATTCTCTTTTGGCCACATCAGAAAATTCTCTGGGTGAGAATTTTCTTATCATCCCATATTATAGTGTACCCATTTTTTACCGGGATTTTAAGTCGACCTTCCATCCTTATCATCCCATATTATAGTGTACCCATTTTTTACCGGGATTTTAAGTCTTAAAATTTCATCACACTCACACTCACATACACACACAGAAACACACACACACACAAACACACAAACAACACACCATTATATATACACAGAGACAGACACATATACCGGTCATGACCTTATAGGAAATCATAAAAACTTAAAGGAATTGATTTTCTGCTCCACTTATCAGCTCCCCTACCAATCATATTTTTAAATTCCCTAATCTCAATAGATGGTTTTATTTTTTTCCTTACCTTAAGCCAAGTCAGAATCTTTGTAACTCACTTCATTAAAAATATGTCAAAAATTCACTCTTCTTTCTGTTTATATCTGTTAATCTGCTATTATCTATATCTTGGTTCCTCATTCCATTACATAGATCCCTGCTCCTGTTTTTATGCAGGTCAATTTGTCCTTACAATGTTAATGATGTGGTAAACAATATAGGTCTGTTAGTCTTAATGTCAGAAGCCTAAAATCTAGACACAATCTTCCTAATGCCTGTAGAGAAAAATTACAGTTTTATAATGATGTACTAAAAACCTACCAGAGCTGGTTTAACCTCATGCCTTTTGTATGTGTACTTTCTTTGCACACTACACTCTGGGCACACTGAACTACACAAACATTTTCCTAAAGAGGCAAACATAAAGCTATCTATTACACCCTCTACTCTGGAGGAAACTTCCATGCACAGTGTAAAACATTGAGCCTCTTTACCACAGAATCTTAGACCCCAATATGTAACTATCTCCCCATGTGCCTATTTCTGAACCATCAATCTATGAGCCCCGAGAAGTCAAGGATTTGATTTTTTTTTATAACTGGCAGGAACAGGACATGGGAAAACTCAAAAGACACTTGGTGAATGACTACTACTGCAAAGGTAAATAAATTCAATAAAGTAATTTCAGCTAAGTGCCTGAGACACAACATTCCATGCTGAGAGTATTTCTAACACCAAGGAATTAAACAACTACAGCAGCTTCTTGCTCCAAGCTTGTAACCTTGAATTTGATCCCAAGGACCCACAGGCAGAAGAGAAGAGTCCTGCAAACTGTCATCTGACTCATACATCTATGTGCCGTGATATTGATACACACACACACACACACACATACACACACACACACACACACACACACACACACCGATGTTTAAAAGTATTGAATATCACTTAATATAAATTGAAATTAACTTCCAGTAAGAATTAATTACTATACTTGATTCAAAGATTAAATCCATAATACATTTTGAACTTGGTAAAATTCAAAACATTACATGAAGGGCACAGAAAATTGTCCTTTATATTTTAATCAAGAGCCTAAGACATTTAAAATAATTGCTATTATAGAGACTCTGAGGCAAACACTTGCATCCTGTGAGTGCTGTGCAGCCTATCAAATCTTTATTCTAGTGCACAGAACATAAAGGTTTTTATCTTACATTCTACTAAAATTTAAACAATCATGGCTTATTACATTACATTAAAGTAGAAATTAATACACTTTGGGTTAGTTATAAAGCTCTTAAAATATAACAGATATAGTTGAAATAACCTAGTGCTTAATGATTTTAAATTCAAATAAACACCACAGGGAAACTTGTGATTTCCCCAGAGAAACTTTCAATTGGTTACACTGGAACTACCTGTGTTATTGTAGTCATTTGTCAGCTTAAAAAGATGCTATGTCACTATGAAACTAATGTGAAGTGAAAGTTCCCTGTGAGCTTATATCCTTGCTAACACAGTATGTGCCCTTCATAGTCCTGTGAAATGTAGCCAAGCTAACATGGCTGAGCACAGTACATGAAGACAACCATTTGCGGTTCTCAAATAAAGGACTACAGCAGATAAGAAACATGTTAGCTCACTATGGTAGCAAAAAGAAAAACCCCATAGTAAGGTCCACACATATGATTATTTGAATAGCCTTGGTATACATACAGCACAAACACAATCAATACTGAAGAGATCCAAGGGGAACTGCTCACTCTGGCTGCACGCTTAACAACATAATATTTTACTACATTTTTCTCACTATTCATGTCTCCTTTTCAAGTTAAAACACCCCAGAAACCTATAATATTAAGAGACTAGAAAGTTAATACAACTTAAGAAATACTATCATTTTATTCTTTTCTGCATCTTTTTTTGCATAAGGACATTTATCCATCCATGAAAAGGTGAAAAACACATTATAATCAAAATGCATGCCAAGGAATACATGAGCAGTACAGCACTAGTCTGGATTGCACAAGGCCCTGGATTTGAACCAAGAGCCACATAAATAAATGAGTGAATGAATAAACAATTAAATAAATTCTTCCTTTAAGACATAGGAATGATGTATGTATATATAATTTGTGGATCCATAATATTTTGAAAATAAATATGAAGATAAAGATTACTTTCTAGGTAAATTTTGAAAACATGCCCTACCGCATGAAATTAAAATGAAACTCGACAAAGTAGGCATAGACAAAATCATTTTTGCCTGATAATTGTTCATAAAAATATCTGTAGCAAATGAGACAATCTTTAAAAGGAATGATCACCATTAATATAATCTTCTGACTATCGTATGGTTAATGAAATAAACACACACATAGTTTTTGCTTGTTAACAGAAAGGGCATCAATTTGCATATTATGCTATAGTTCCCCCCCTTTTTAATTTAAATTAGACACAAGCTTCTTTTACATGTCAATCCCAGTTCCCTCTCCCTCCCCTCCCCTCCTGCCCCCCATCCACCCCCATCCCATCCCCTTTCTGCTCCCCAGGAAGGTTGAGGACTTCCATGGGGGATCTTCAAAGTCTTTTACTATTTCTAAAAACCTCACATAAGCACAGTGAATTACTCTTGGCTTTGTTCTCAAAGTTTTTTACCAATAAAAACTGCCTTTACTATTTTTATATGTATTTTATGCCATTTTGTTTAATGGGTTACATAGCACATTCATAGACATGAAGGACCAAGGTAGCTGTGTGAAAGCATTACCCAGTGAAAATGAGTGTTCCTGGGAGGAGTGGGAGAAGCTGAGCAGCGACTGTGCTTTTAGTTCTCACTGGTGTCCTTACAAAGGGAAAAGGCACTGATTCGTTCCAATGGAGGTAGCACTTGGAAACCGTAAGACAGACTCCCGAAGTTCTAGGAGTTGAATAAACATCCTGTGATACGTACCATACTGTGTAACAAATGCTATGCAGCTGTTCACAATAATGGGCACGTCATTTTTGCAGAGCTGCTGATCTTGTAATGCGTTACCATCTGTACCTGCTGCTTTTTCAATTGCAGTATGCCAGACTGTGAAATCCAACTTGGTATGCCCATGGATGTATAGCGTTCTGTGAATTTTTAAAAAGCACTTCATATTATAATTTTGCTTTACTTAAATTTACCCCCAACACAGATTACCCTAAAATCCACATAAATGAGATGTTGTCTCACACATTATACAAACAAACTAACAAGAAACCCTTTACCTTCCACCCACCAGTTGTCTCTCTGTTCCTCTATTATCTGTTGAGGCCACATAGCATAGAGGAAGCCATACCAACTTAGTCTTCCTCTTCCAATTTCCTAGCTCTCCAATTCTATTTCTAAGTAACTCAATGAAAATCACTGAGTACCATGACAGAAATATGAACCTTTTTCTTTTCTTTTCCTTTTTTTTTTTTTTTTTTTTTTGGTTCCTGTTATCTGAAATACTCACTTTGTCTGCAGTTCTTCTATGTTACTTCAGAACTTTCCCTCTCTTTGAGGTCACCAAAACACCTGGTACAATTCTTTTCCTGATTCTGTCTTTTCAGTCTCTACTCCTCACTACGACCAAAATATCATGTCAACAAGATGAGGCTAATGACAGCAGTTTGGGATAATTGTCATGACTTTAAAGCTTTTGTTTTGTGAATGGAAGGGTCTTCATGAGTTGGTTTATTTTTTCCACTGTGACTCTGTAACATCTCATCTTTGCCTGGACAGATACCTGCTCCCAGCCTATGATGTCACCCAAGTGAGGCTCCCTGATACTTTCTGAGGTCTCTATAGGCAAGCAAAATGGTGCTTTGGTCTCTGCCAAAGACTGGACTCTGGCATTTATCCTTAGCACAAAACTTAACGCATTAAATACCAATGCATCTCAAGTATATTTACTCTAAAGACACACTACTCAATCTTGGTTTTTAGCTAAGGTTTGGATATTTTGGATTCAGCAACAGTAAGGGAAGAACAGGTGATGAAATCTTGGGGCTCTGTGGGGAGTCAGGGAGAAGGGATGAAATGGCTCACATTTCTGAACATCACTGCCTGTCACTTTAAAAGAAAAAGGAAATCTACTATCCTTTCTTATTTTATTTTAGTTTTCTCTTCTTGCAATGCTCTTCCAGGAAGACAAAGCCAACAACAGCATTCTAACACAATTCTGATGTTGCTGGAATTGCTTTTTACTAGCCCTTGTGCTTGTAATCCTTGGCTCTTGCTTTCTGACATCTTCATCTATTGTTTTCATTTTCCACTCTACCACAACTACCTGGACCCACAGATTCTGCAATTTTCTCTTTGAAGAATTCTGACAGTGGTCCAATGGTTCTTTAGTCCTTTAGCTTTTCCATTTACTGTACAACATCCAAAGCATCCAACCTCTGAGTTTGTGTCTACATGAAATAGCACAGCAAATTATCTTCAAAAACAGGAAAGCCTTTCATATATACACCTAGTTAAAATTGTTTTTCTAAATTCAGTAAAGATAATAATAATATTTTCCTGATTTTAATTTTAATAAATTTTACTTCATTATTCACTTGCCAGTATGACTTAAAATCCTTGAAAATCCAAGGGTAATTATTCTAGTAGTCAGTGAAACAAATCCAAAATGTACAAGTGGTCCTTTAAGACCAATATAACCCTGTCACTAACTGTGAATATCTCAAACTTTGAATTTTCCTTCTAGTCAGAAGAAATCCCACAATGGAAGGTTAGCTGTCTGCTTGTGATCTAGCAAGGGCTAGAACAAGCAATGACAAGTCAACTCCTGTGTCAGCTTGTCAAACAGTGAATCTTAAATATATTATCTACTACAGCCCATGGGATGGCTGACATTTAACTGCATGAGTTCAACAACCTTCCATTCTGTTACTTATTTAAACTCTAGACACACTGATTAAAGCATCATAACACATTGCAATGTAAATGCTGACCAACATTGTAAATTCCAGTTTTACTAAACTACCATTTCATATTCTGAATAAGAATTTCAGGTAAAAATTCAACTGTGTGCTCAATATTTGAAAAAGTTATTTTGGTAAACTCTGATCATAGCAGATTTATATATTATAATTGACAATTTCCCAAAATAAATCTTGGTCATATAAAGATATTTTATTATTAATAAGGAAGTTTGATATGCAGTTTTCTACAATATATACATGAATTATTGTTTGTAATGGTTTGAGTCTATTCAACTCAAATTAACCTGAAGTTTCTTGAAATAAGTAATCAATAAATCGGACTGTATAAAAGACAAATTTATCCATAAATACCTAAAGCTGAGAAGCAAATACCATATACCATAAATATAACTTAAAAAGGGAATAGCCTAAGCATTTGTAGAAAAATGAAAACTTTATGTCCTCAGCAAAAATATGAATATCAATCATTAAAAAATAATACATGTAAAAAATGCAAAGAGAGAATATGCATAAACTAGTCTAACAATCATATATATTAACAACAATATCAGAAGTTTTCCAAACATTTAAAATGCAACTAAAGAATATGTAACAAGACAAAGTATTTTATAGATAGCATGGATATTCTCAAAAGACATTTGCCAATATGTACAAACAAACTTAACATGTATATTTTGACAATTCCAAGCACAAGACTCTGCAACAAGCCCATAATTTGAAGTGAAGACAAAAATCTGTTTCTGTCCCTCTGCCATGCATGTGTGCTTAGCAATAATCATATTTACTAGAGCATCTGAAAAAGTACATAAGCTTAGATCTGCCAAATTTGGGAAAGGTCAACTGACTTGGAATACATTATCCTACACATCTGGATAATGTGTATACAGAACAGAGAATATGTCATTACAACCATGTATAAATTCTGTCATATTTTCTGAAGCATCAAACTGTCTCTAGCTAGAAAACTCATAAATATTTTGTCCCTTTCTTCCTGTATATCCCTGCTTTAAAAAACTGTAAGAAACAAATGATATAAATCAAAGTATTCACTCATCACTTGCAGTCCAGAGATGTGGGACAGATTTCTGAAGCATGTCACCTGTGTTCTGCACTGAACTTTGAACCAGAGAAAGGGAAATCTGTCTGCCAAGCTCTTCATGCCCAAGGATAGGGAAGGGCTGGAAAGCTAGTTTTTTATTTATTTATTTATTTATTTATTTATTTATTTATTTATTTATTTTCATTTTTGAGAATTTTATACATGCATATAATCTGTTCTGATGAAATTGGCTCCCCTTTCCCCCTAAAATGTCTCTTCTACCCACCCTCACACCACTTTTCACTCTCAACCTCATGTGGCCTTTCATTTAAACCCCATTGAGTCCACTGAGTGCTGCCCATATGTGCAGGGATATAGAGCCATCTGCTGGAGATGATTCGCCTCTCAAGACCCACATCTCAGAAAAACGAACTCCTTCTCCCTTAACAGTCAAGAACACCTTTCTAAATCTGCCAACACTCCACTAGTTCATGATCCTATGCTCTTTGAGAATTGAAAATCTAAATTCTTGGTCTTCAGTTCCATGACATGCTCTTTAGAGAAAAGGCACTAATGTCACTTCTTCTTAGTCTTCTTATGACAGAATCACAAAACATGGTTTTCTGAAGAAGCTGGATCAAAGACAGTACTGGAAGGGGCCTGGAACTTGATCTAATGGAACACAGTAATATCTATTTCTCTTCATTTAAAGGATAATCAAAACCGGGTGTGGTTGTGTAAGCCTTTAATCCCAGAACTCCCTGAGTTCAAAGTTGGCCTGATCTACATAGAGAATATCATGTCTTCAAGTGTGTGTGTGTGTGTGTGTGTGTGTGTGTGAGAGAGAGAGAGAGAGAGAGAGAGAGAGAGAGAGAGAGAGAGATAGGCAGACAGAGACAGAGGAAGTGTGTATTCTGCCTTGCAAAGTGTTCCACATCTACAAAGGATATGGCTCTAAGAAATCTGGAAATGCCCATTGTAGTTTTCTTTCTACCTCCTAAGAAACTCTCAAAGAAAAGCACATTAATCACCACAGCAGGCTTTTTGTGTCTAATGGGAAAAGATGAAACATTTTACTGCTATGAATGACATTTGCTCATTAGATTTGCAATGCACTCATTTTAATTGTGTGGTCAAAATGTTTTTACAAATGCATATTCCCATGTGACTCCTACCAAAATCAATACATAAAACATTTCCATCATTTACAAAACTCCCATGTAATTCTTTGGAATCCTTTCTTCTATCCATCATGAACACACATACAAACATAGACACACACACACACACACACACACACACACACACACACACACACAACACCTGGTCAGTTCTCTATCACCATATATTGGACTCCTAGATGATCATTTCCTATAAATGAAATACCATGCTGTTACCTATGGCATGTGGTTTTATTTAATCATCACAATACTCTTAAAATTTAGCTATATTGTTAATACAGATTATCTTTAGAATAGTAATTAATTAGTATTCAATGCATAAGTATACAACATGCTTTGTTTATACATTCACTCACTAGGGAACACCTATTCTCTTCCCACTCCTTGGTTTAGAAACTGAGCAGACTTGAACCATTGCACTTTTATGGCTACATGTTGTGATGTATTTTGAGTAAATATACTAAAGCTAATTCGCTGGAATACAGAATAAGTATACTATAACATTATTTTAAAAATTAATGTCACTGGGGAGATGACTCAGTGGATAAATTGTTTGCCACATAAGTGTGAGGACCAAGTTTAGCAGCCATTCAAAAGCCAGTAGGTGTGGTGGCCTACCTGATTCCCAAGAGGTTGATATGTTGGAACCTTTAGCAAACTGGTTAAATAGGCTAGCCAAATCTTAGAGTTCCAGGCTCAACCTGAGAAGCTGCCTCAGTAAATAAAGTCAAGAGGGATAAAGAAAGACATCCAAAGCCAACTTTTGTCCTCTACACACACCAGCAAACACATGTATATGTGTTCCACTCACATACAATCAAGTACACATTTATAACAGACAGGCATGCACAAAAAACAATCTGGCTATATTATTTTCTAAATTGACTATTCAATTTAATGATTATATCATAACAATATCTAGCCAATCCACTCACTGC